TAAAACTACATTTCAGGGCCCTTCTTTCTGTGCCATAGGACCAAGTATCTCAGAGCAGGGTGAGCCTGGCATGCACTTACACTGCCTGGGAAGCTTTTATTTTTCTTATTTTTACTTACAATGTAGATAGGCCTAATTAGAGGTCCCAAGGAGACTTAGACAATTTTCTCCACCCAGCTTAGACACACGTGAAGTACTACTTAGTAGCCACTAAGGAATAATTATGTAAGTTAACAGCAAATCACCCAATTTATATAGTTATGCTGCCTAAACAGAAACGTTTATTTCTTACCAGTTTTCTGCCCTTTTGCTCCAAATAGTTGTTGCAAAAAAAGAAAACGCTGTTATTTTTATGAAGAGTTTTCTTCTATAACAAGCCCTTTGCTCCCCATGAAATCAAATCAGAGAAGCCAAACACCTGCAGGCACTCTGAGGGTTTTTATACCCGGTGGGATTCACCCCCTCCCTTTTCCTGGGTGCCATGGGAACGAGAGGCGGGCACCATCAGGGGTAGATTAACCCCAGCCTTTGCTCAGGGCCTTCATTCCTCCTCTGGGATGTGCTGGGATCACAGCTCTCCTCTCATTTCAGGTAAGAGGCTCTTTCAGCTTACTTCAGCTTATTTCTAGCAGGTGTTTCTGGGCATCTGAAGCAACAGAGGCTTTGAAGATCCTGTGAAGAAAACAGCCTGGAATACAGGGAGTATTTAAGTTCATGATTTTGGGTTTTGTGTTTAGGGGTGGTAAAGCGCATATGTAATTTCTGGTTTTGTTCTTATATTGTTTTGTATTTCTTTTAGGAGGAGCGCAGCTTCCAGAGGCTCCAGGTTGTGTCAACTACAACACTTTTTTCAGCAGATTCATTGTGTCACAAGAGGGATCTGCCCAGCGTCCAAGATGATGTTTGAGATTGAGGCTTCAGGTGAGTTGAGGATTGTGACTAGGAGAGGGAGGGTGAGTGGGTATCCAGTTAGGAGTTATTGCTGGGGGGGTGGTTTTGAAGGCAGCAGGGTGAGAAAGGGTGTTTATTTGAGCCCCCCACCCAAGGCCTTTTAGAAGCCGAGCGGAGGCATTCACACATCTTACAGCACACAAGGTCATCCACTGCACTCACAGGAATGCCATTTCACTTTGCCTTTCTCTAACCCAGGTGCCACTCACAATAATGGGCACAGCCTTGGAATCAGGATGAAGCTGGAGCCTGAAGGAGCCAGGCACACTCAGGAGAGGGCAAGTATCTGACTCGCCGGGATTTGGCCCACATAACTCTGTACTCATACTTTGGTTTTGTTTTTCTTTATTGTAGCTGACCGAGAGGCTAACAGGCCATCACGGGGCCCTCCGAGGCAGACTGATTTCAGGAGCAACGTGGATCCACATCACCGATCATCCAAAAGATAAGTCGGGGCCATGGCCTGGAGATGGGACAATGGGAGAGTAGCGGGTTGGGAGTTCCTGGGACAGATTTAAAAATTAGCAGAGGGAAAAGCAAGCTGCTCCAAGGGGCCTCTTCGGACAGCTAAAGGGAGAGGCTCTACTTTTGACGGCAGCTTTCAGGCCGGCAGCGCAGAACAGTTCCGGTCCACGTCGTGTTGTCCGGTGTACCGTGTTACCTAGTGTGTCTTTGGGGTCCCTTTTGCCTTTTCCCCTCGAGACCCTCACCACAAGCATGATGTGTTGTGTTTGTTGTCCCCCTGTTTGTCACGTTCCGTGTCACGGGTGTCTGCACATATTTGTGCCGGAGCTGCTCTGCCCTGCCCTGCCGCATAGCCCGCTGCAAGAGGACAAGTCCCAGGGACTCGCAGTTTGTGGGGTGTTGCCAGACTCTAGATGATATTCCTAGATAGACAGAAGATGTTTGGAGCTGTGAAGTTATCCCGCAGCCCTTTGACCTTTCTCCTCACTTTCTTTCAGACGCAGAAGGATAAAATCCAGGGCCCAAACCATCCACCCATCCCGAGTGAGGAGGCTCCCCCGAGCAGGTCAGTCACCGTTTGTCTCTGCGGGGGGAGTGTAAAGTGTGACTCTGTTACAGCTCTGGTCTTTTCCTTTTTAGGAGGTAAAGCTGGATATCAGCAGTCAAGGTGAGCATTGAGTAGCGTCCAGAAGCAGTTGTTATTGCTCCAGTGTCGCTTTCCACTGCAACTCTGAGCATCTGTTCCTGTTTTTTCATCAGCCTCGGACCGCGGCCCCAGGAGCCGGGCATTCTTAGGAGAACGGTGAGTGGCAGAGTTGTTGGGTTTTGGTCAGTGTGCTGCAGAGATCATGCATTAACATTTGCATTTCTTTCATGTAGCTGACTAAGAAACAACAGGAAGTTGTTGAACAACAGTGCCAGCAGGAACTTCCCAGATGTTGAGGCTGCCTTCTTTTGCACCTGACATGGACCTGCATCCCCAGCTGTGCGAGAGATAAGTAGAGGGGTACAACCCACAGAGGGGAGGAAAGCGGCACGCAGGGTAGGGACCCACCGGGAGGGATTTTTGAGTCTCCTTTGGAGATGGGAGTGTCCATGGAGCGGCCCCTTAGGCCCCATAAAAGCAAAGCCTGACTTTGGATCACAGTGCTGAGGCGCGCAGGGCAGAGCAGTCCCGGTGTGTATCGTGTCACTTGTCTTTTGTGTATTATGTGTGTTTAGAGATGTCATGTCTTTTACCTTAGGCCTTGGAGGGGCCTGTCAGAAACCCTGGCATCATTGTTAGCATCTGTGCTCTCTGCATTCCTTGGCCTGGCACCCAGGCCATAGAACTTTGAACTTGGGAGCTCAGACAGGCATCAGACTCTCTTGTCTCTTTAGAAGCATCCGGTCAGGTGTCTTTTCAGGTCTTGTTCTGAGCTGTGCGGACAGCTGTGCCCCGCCAGGATCCATTATGGCGGACTAGGACTGGAAAGAACGTGAGGGCAGGCAGAGGCTTCTGGCCGTAGGATTCTCGGGCATCCATCTTTGCAGTTCTTGGAATAAATCATTCAGTTAGCATCTTCTTCCTCCAGGATTCTCTGAGCCTCATCAGCTCACCATTGGTCTCCCCTCGGTCATCTCCTTTTGCATTCTCTCAGTCCTCGCAGCCATTTTCCGTGCCAGATTTCTGTCCGTGTTGTGTCCCCGTTGTCTGTCATGTCCTGTCCTGTGTCACGGGTGTCTGCACACACATTTGTGCCGGAGCTGCTCTGCCCTGCCACATAGCCTGGTGCAATATGAGAAGTCCTGGGGAATTGAAGTTTGTAATGTGGGCTGTAGTTGGACTGTAGATGCTATTCCTAGATTGACCTGAGGTGTTTGCAGTTTTTGAGTTATCCTGCAGGTTTTTGACATATGTTCTAACTCTCTTTCAGGTGCAGATGCATTGCCTCCATGGCAGAGCCCCCATCCTGGGTGAGGGGGTTCCCACAAGCAGGTCAGTCACCATTTGTCTCTGCAGGGGGAGTGTCAAGGGTGACCCTGTTTCAGCGCTGTTTTTTTGTCTTTATTTTTAGGAAGTAAATCTGGATCCCAGCAGTCAAGTTCAGGAGAGCAAGGTGATCAGTAGCCTTTCTTGTTGTTAAGGTCTCAATTCCTGGGGCAAGTCTAAGTCTCCATTCTCGTTTTTGTGCCTTAGGCCATCCACTCAGAGCATGCCAGGCTCCCATCCCCAGCGGCCGATGGACCGGGTTTGCCGCTCTCATGGGCCCTGTGTGCCGGGTCAGGAACCGCCGAGGAGCTGCGGTGAGTCGGGGAAGTAGGGAGGAGGAGCGAGGGTCCCCTCAGGTTTCAGCCATGCCAAATCACCTCATCTCCTCTTAACCCAGGCACCCCCTGTGACCCCCTCGGTCTCCGAGCGTGCCCGAAGCGTGCGGCCCGAGCAGCCGAGCGTTCTTAGGAGCAGGGTGAGTAGCAGACTTGTGGGGTTTTGGCCGAGGGGCTGCCAAGATCGGGCACTGATGTTTGGTTTTCTTTAATACAGCTGTCTAAGAGACACCAGCCCGGTGCCAGCAGGACCTTCCCAGCTGACGAGGCGGCCTTTCTTCGCACCCGAGACCGGCATCCCCAGCTGTGCGAGAGATAAGTAGAGGGCCACGACCCACAGAGGGGATGAAAGCAGGGGGCTGGTTTGGGAATTACTGGGAGGGGTTTTTGAGTCCACTGTGGTGATAGGTGCTGTCCATGGAGCAGCCCCTTAGGCCCCATAGAAGCAAAGCCTGACTTTTCATCACAGCGCTGAGGCGCGCAGGGCAGAGCAGTCCCGGTGTGTATTGTGTCACTTGTCTTTTGTGTATTATGTGTTGTTTGGATATGTCATGTCTTTTACCTTAGGCCTTGGAGGGGCCTGTCAGAAACCCTGGCATCATTGTTAGCATCTGCGATCTCTGCATTCCTTGGCCTGGCACCAATGCCATAGAACTTTTGCCTCAGGAGCTCAGACAGGCATCAGACTGTCTTGTCTCTTTAGAAGCATCCGGTCAGGTGTCTTTTCAGGTCTTGTTCTGAGCTGTATGGACAGCTGTGCCCCGCCAGGATCCATTATGGCGGACTAGGACTTGAAAGAACGTGAGGGCAGGCAGAGGCTTCTGGCTGTAGGATTCTCGGGCATCCATCTTTGCAGTTATTGGAATAAATCATTTGGTTAGCATCTTGTTCCTCCAGGTTTCTCTGAGCCTCATCAGCTCACCATCGGTCTCCCCTCGGTCATCTCCTTTTGCATTCTCTCAGTCCTCGCAGCCATTTTCCTTGCCAGGGGATTTCTGTCTGTGTTGTGTCCCCGTTGTCTGTCACGTCCTGTCTGTCCTGTGTCACGGGTGTGTGCACACACATTTGTGCCGGAGCTGCTCTGCCCTGCCGCGTAGCCTGGTGCAATATGAGAAGTCCTGGGGAATTGAAGTTTGTAATGTGGGCTGTCCTTGGACTCTAGATGCTATTCCTATATTGACCTGAGGTGTTTGCAGCTTTTGAGATTTTCTGCAGGTGTTTGACATATGTTCTAACTTTCTTTCAGATGCAGATGCATTGCATCCATGGCGGAGCCCCCATCCTGGGTGAGGGGGTTCCCACAAGCAGGTCAGTCACCATTTGTCTCTGCAGGGGGAGTGTCAAGGGTGACCCTGTTTCAGCGCTGTTTTTTGTCTTTATTTTTAGGAAGTAAATCTGGATCCCAGCAGTCAAGTTCAGGAGAGCAAGGTGATCAGTAGCATTTCTTGTTTCTGAGGTCTCAATTCCTGGGGCACGTCTAAGTCTCCATTCTCGTTTTTGTGCCTTAGGCCATCCACTCGGAGCACGCCAGGCTCCCATCCCCAGCGGCCAATGGACCGGGTTTGCTGCCCTTGCGAGCCCTGAGTTCTGGGTCAGGAACTGATGAGGAGTTGTGGTGAGTAGGGGAAGTAGGGAGGAGGAGCGAGGGTCCCCTCAGGTTTCAGCCGTGCCAAATCACCTCATCTCCTCTCAACCCAGGCATCCCCTGTGACGACGGCCTCGGTCTCCGAGCGTGCCCGAAGCTTGCGGCCTGAGCAGCCGAGCGTTCTTAGGAGCAGGGTGAGTAGCAGACTTGTGGGGTTGTGGCCGATGGGCTGCCAAGATCGGGCACTGATGTTTGGTTTTCTTTAATACAGCTGTGTGAGAGACACCAGCCCGGTGCCAGCAGGACCTTCCCAGCTGACGAGGTGGCCTTTCTTCGCACCCGAGACCGGCATCCCCAGCAGTGCGAGAGATAAGTAGAGGGCCACGACCCACAGAGGGGATGAAAGCAGGGGGCTGGTTTGGGAATTACTGGGAGGGGTTTTTGAGTCTCCTTTGGAGATGGGCGTGTCCATGAAGTGGCCCCTTAGGCCCCATAAAAGCAAAGCCTGACTTTTCATCACAGCGCTGAGGCGCGCAGGGCAGAGCAGTCCCGGTGTGTATTGTGTCACTTGTCTTTTGTGTATTATGTGTATTTGGATGTGTCATGTCCTTTACCTTAGGCCTTGGAGGGGCCTGTCAGAAACCCTGGCATCATTGTTAGCATCTGCGATCTCTGCATTCCTCGGCCTGGCACCCAGGCCATAGAACTTTGAACTTGGGAGCTCAGACAGGCATCAGACTCTCTTGTCTCTTTAGAAGCATCCGGTCAGGTGTCTTTTCAGGTCTTGTTCTGAGCTGTATGGACAGCTATGTCCCGCCAGGATCCATTATGGCGGACTAGGACTGGAAAGAATGTGAGGGCAGGCAGGGGCTTCTGGCCGTAGGATTCTCGGGCATCCATCTTTGCAGTTCTTGGAATAAATCATTCAGTTAGCATCTTCTTCCTCCAGGTTTCTCTGAGCCTCATCAGCTCACCATCGGTCTCCCCTCGCTCATCTCCTTTGGCATCTTCTCAGTCCTTGCAGTCATTTTCCTTGCCCAGAGATTTCTGTCCGTGTTGTGTCCCCGTTGTCTGTCACGTCCTGTCCTGTGTCACGGGTGTGTGCACACACATTTGTGCCGGAGCTGCTCTGCCCTGCCGCATAGCCTGGTGCAATAGGAGAAGTCCCGGGGACTTGAAGTTTGTAATGTGGGGTGTAGTTGGACTCTAGATGGACACAAGATATTTGGAGCTCTTAAGTTATCCTGCAACAGTTTGACTCTTGTCCTAACTTTGTTTTCAGATTCAGGTGGATTAAATCTGTGCCAGAGGGCCCGATCCCGGGTGAGTGGTTTCCCCCGAGCAGGTGAGGCACCATTTGTCTCTGCAGCAGAAGTGTACGTGGTGACTCTGTGACAGCTCTGTTGTTTGTCTTTCTTTTTAGGAAGGAAATCTGGGTATCAGCAGTCAAGGTGAGCAGTGGAGAGAAGTAGCTGTTATTGCTCAGGTCTCAGTTTCTGGTGCAGCTCTAAGTTTCCATTCTCTTTTTTGTGGTTTAGGCAATCCACTCGGAGCCTGCCAAGCCCCCGTCACCAGCCGGCCGATGCACCGGGTTCCCTGCACGTGTGAGCCCTGTGGATGCGTTACAGGACCAGGTGAGGAAGCCCTGAACTCTGCTATTTCAAGGTGCCATCCAGGTGGCCTGCCCAGGAGTTGTGGTGAGTCGGGGAAGTAGGGAGGAGGAGCGAGGGTCCGCTCAGGTTTCAGCGATGCCAAATCACCTCATCTTCTCTTACCCCAGGCTTACCCCGTGACAATGGCATCAGCCTCGGAGCGCAGCCGAAGGGTGCGGCCCCAGGAGCCGGGCATTCTTGGGAAAACGGTGAGTGGCAGAATTGTTGGGTTTGGCCAGTGTGCTGCAGAGATTGTGCATTGATATTTGGATTTCTTTCATGTAGCTGACTAAGAAACAACAGGGAGTTGTTGAACAACAGTGCCAGCAGGAACTTCCCAGATGTTGAGGCTGCCTTCTTTTGCACCTGACACGGACCTGCATCCCCAGCTGTGCGAGAGATAAGTAGAAGGCCACGACCCACAGAGGGGATGAAAGCGGGGCGCAGGGTAGGGACCCACCGGGAGGGGTTTTTGAGTCCCCTTTGGAGATGGGGGGATGTCCATGAAGCGACCCCTTAGGCCCCATAGAAGCAAAGCCTGACTTTGGGTCCCAGTGCTGAGGTGCGCAGGGCAGAGCAGTCCCGGTGTGTATCGTGTCACTTGTCTTTTGTGTATTATGTGTTGTTTGGATATGTCATGTCTTTTACCTTAGCCCTATGAGGGGCTTGTCAGAGACCCTGGCATCATTGTTAGCATCTGTGATCTCTGCATTCCTCGGCCTGGCACCCAGGCCATAGAACTTTAGGCTCAGGAGCTCAGACAGGCATCAGACTCTCTTGTCTCTTTAGAAGCATCCGGTCAGGTGTCTTTTCAGGTCTTGTTCTTAGCTGTATGGACAGCTGTGCCCCGCCAGGATCCATTATGGCGGACTAGGACTGGAAAGAACGTGAGGGCAGGCAGAGGCTTCTGGCCGTAGGATTCTCGGGCATCCATCTTTGCAGTTCTTGGAATAAATCATTCGCTTAGCATCTTCTTCCTCCAGGATTCTCTGAGCCTCATCAGCTCACCATCGGTCTCACCTTGGTCATCTCCTTTTGCATTCTCTCAGTCCTTGCAGCCATTTTCCGTGCCAGGAGATTTCTGTCCGTGTTGTGTCCCCGTTGTCTGTCACGTCCTGTCCTGTGTCACGGGTGTGTGCACACACATTTGTGCCGGAGCTGCTCTGCCCTGCCGCATAGCCTGGTGCAATAGGAGAAGTCCCGGGGACTTGAAGTTTGTAATGTGGGGTGTAGTTGCACTCTAGGTGGGATTTGTAGCTGGACACAAGATATCTGGAGCTCTTAAGTTATCCTGCAGCTCTTTGACTTTTGTCCTAACTTTCTTTCAGATGCAGAAGGATAAAATCCAGGGCAGAGCCCCCCATCCCAGATGCGGGGTTTCCCCCGAGCAGGTGAGTCCATGTTTCTCTCTGCAGAGGAAGCATAAATGGTGCCCGTTACAGCATTGTTCTTTGTCTCTCTTTTTAGGAGGTCAAGGCCGAGAGCAGTAGTCAAGGCCGAGTGGGCGAGGTGAGCATTGAGTAGCGTACAGAAGCAGTTGTTATTGCTGATGTCTCAGTTTTGGGGCAGCTCTAAGCATCTCCTATTTTTTTTTTTATTTTAGGTGATCCACTTGCCATTTATCCTGGCCGAGCACGCCTATGCCAGGTGGGTCAGAGCTTAAGGTATCGGTGTGGCATCCTTGTCAGATTTGGGAGGTTGTGTTTTCACAGTGTCTCAGCATGCTTTTCTGCTTTGTTTCATTGCAGGTGCTGTTGCTGCCCTAGGCACGCCAAGGAACAGAGGAGGGCAGGTGAGTCGGGGTTTCGGCAGGCTGACCCATAGGTGAGCGTCACACAGCAGCACGCTAAGCGTGTACCTTTTCTTTTCGCAGGTATCTTCCGGGCAGCCTCCAGAGCGAAATCAAGATTTGAGGTGAGCCGGGGCAGTGGTGCGGAGGAGTCCCGGGGATTACTGTTGTTGAGGGCAATAGTCACCTTTTCTGTTTTGTCTCAGGTACCCTGAGGAGGCTCGTAGCCAAAGCTTGGAAACGGCAGCACCGAAGCACACACAGAGAGCATCTCCACGTCCGACCGAGGATGGATTTCGTCCGCTCCTCTTCCAAAAGCTAAGTGTCGGGGCCAGTGGCTGGGAGAAGGGGAATAGCCTTTACTCTCACAGGAGGCAATCTGATGTCAGCTTAGGGGACAGGTCTGTAGCGGGGTGGGCTCTCTGGAAGTAAAGGGAGAGGGTTTCCCCTCAGCCTCGCCAGAGGCTTTGCCGGGCAGGGCAGTTCCGACCCATCTCCACATTTTCGCGTACTTCGCGTCGTCCGCCTCCCCCGACTCGACGTCGTCATGGACCTTTCTCCCGAGGAGCTCGCCTTCGCGTCCAGAGCCACGGCCACGGTCACCCGGCAGTCGGCTTCCTTCTCTAGGCTCGCCGAGCCTCTCGAGCATCCTCTTAACTACTTCGGCACTAACTTCTTTTGACGAGTTCCATTTCATCATCATCATAGGGCATTCATCATCATAGGTGCCATCGTCATAGGGCTCCCTTTCCTTTGGCATCATCAGCCTCTGGCTCATCTTGCGCTAGGAATCTCAGGTCCCTACGGGGACAGTGCCAGGCAGTTGTCACTCGTCTCTGTGTTATGTCATCTGTGTCTGTGTTATGTCATCTGTGTCTATGTTATGTTGTCCGTGTTATGTTGTCCATGTCTGTGTTATGTAGTCTGTGTCCATTGTCTTACGTGTCACAGGCCTTTGTCACGTCTCAACGCTTTATCGGCACTATTCTGTGCCACATTGCCCATATTCTACTCACGTTCCTTTCCGGATATCCCTTATTCCGGCAGCTGTACATTTTGACTCTTTGAGACTGGAGTGTCTCAAAGGGACAAGATGTTCTCATCCATCTTCCTTCTCACTACCGGCTTTGGTAGTGCCTTTTTCTCCATGCCATTCTCTTGGACTTCCTGAGGGAGCGTCTTACACCCTCCTCACGTGACTGCAGCAGTTCTATAGGTTCCATTTTCTCAAAGGGTACAGGGCTCAAGAATTAGTATCTTCCAGAGAGCTGTCTCAAGTCCTGGCTTATACTGTATGTACTTACATTGTTTGTACCTATGCTGGTTTATACTGTATGTACTTACATTGCGTTTACCTATGTTGGCTTACACTGTATGTACTTATACTGTATGTACTTACATTGTGTGTACCTATGCTGGCTTATATTGTATGGACTTACACTCCATGTACACTTGCACTGTATGCATCTGCTTTTATTGTGTGTACTCATGTTGTACCACTTATGGTCGGAGCTGCCCTGCCCTGGCACGTAGT